AAAAATAATAAAAATTAATATAATACCAAAATTTTTAAAATAATAATAACAATACTAACAGTACAGAAGCCTGAATTCAACCTGTTACTTCAAAGTAATCAGTCAGTGCAGTCAGTGGGGACGAGTTGAGTGAAGGAAAACGTTCGCCATTACAAAACAAAACCCATGGATGAAAGCAATGCTTTGTCATAAAAAAAAAAAACTCATCGAAAAAGTCAAGTTTCCCACATGCTTATCAGTTATTACTTAATTAAGAGGTCACGTTAAGACACCACACGTGAAGGTTTTCATTTTGCAGAACTGCTCACCTCTGTATAGCATACTAAAATGCTAAACAAAGATGTAAGGAAAAAAAAAGAAACATAAAAAAAGAAACATTAAAAAAATAAATAACGTAAAAAACACTCGCAAGATCAGCAACCCTGTAGTCGTGAAGGGCACTCCCACAAGCACATCGTCATCCAAACCAGAGCAAAAAGTTAACGAAAAAACAAAACCAAACAAAAAGAGGCTGCAGCTGTCTCCCAAAACAGCAATGCAGAACACCAGGGGTCGCACAGCATCACATTTTTACAAAATACGTAAAAAAAACCAAAATATCTACTGCAGCAGAGCACGCCAAGGTCAAGCAAAACTACGCACCACACTGCTTCCACAGAACAAAACCAGTTTGTTGAAAAGAAAAAAAAACAATTGAGAAAAAACTAAGAGAGACTTCAAGACAAGAAAACATAGAGGAAAAAAACAACTCCCATCAAGCTTTAAAACCGAATCTCATGCAGCATGCAAATATTCCACAAACATGTCTTCAGTCGACACAAACAAGCAGATGATCCCACAAATGCTTACGAGGAACAAGCATGAAAAAAAAGTACTCGAAACAGACAGACAAAGATTGATGGGAACAGCACAAAAACAGGATGGAAAAAACCCACAAAAAACAACCTAGCAAACATTCCCTTTTTGCGTTTAGGAAACCACTGCTTGGAACCAGCACTACAACTTCTATCCACTACCAAAAAAATTTTTTTTTTTAAATAAATAAAAGATAAATGAATTAATTTTTTTTTAAAACAACTGATCCATTGCTCTGAACTCCCAATTGAATAAAAACAAACTTACAAAAACTGCAAATTCCTAAACTTCTGCAGACTAAACATGAGGTTGTGGTGGGTTGAACTCTTTCTTGCTTCACCCAACTTTTGAGGACTGTCATACATACAACCTTTGCATTGTGTATATTATTTGCTAACCATACTCTGTGACCCATTCTAATCATGCTCCAACCTTGTCCATCTCACTCTATCACTTCGTTTGTTTCATCAAGAAAAACCTTTTATGCTGACACAACACAAAAAAGCACATAGCAGTTGGGCACTTCGTTCGTCATGAATCCAAGTATTGCTTTTTTTCTTCTCTTTTAGAGGGATTTTTAAGGGAAGTGGGTAGTTTAGAAACAAGACCCAAAAACAACCTAAGCACCTCTGTATTGTTCTTCAAAAATTACTGTTTTCCCCTGAACAAATTGACCTATTCAATTACTAAAAGACCCACAGCACAGACTTTATCACTTCTTTGAACACTAGCAAGCAAATCAAAACTGAAAAAACCCCAAAACCAAGCTTTGAGCATTTCCTTGCATCAGCAAGTTTCAAATTTAGTTTGTCACTTGAGGCAAACATCCTCCATTACTGAAACAAATAATTCTAATTTTAAATACCAATCATGAAAACACCAGAACAGATCTGCCGGCTTATTATCTGTGTCTTACAGACAATTCCAAGCAGAAACACAAATTGGGTCATTATAGTTTGAAAAAAAAATTATAAAAAAACCAAAACAATCGAGGCAGTGGTTCGCAGGCAATGATTCATGAACGTGAAAACAAATAGACGAAGAGGCAGCCGGATGAATGTAAAAGACTCAGACATAAGCAAAAGGAAAAAAAAAAAGAAAAAACCCTGACAAAAAAAACAAAAAACAAACATAGAACTGAGAGGCTCTGGTTGTGGGCAAAGAGAAATATCACTTACTTTGGCCACATCGTCCTGATATGGTAGGCAAGTATTGCAGGTAGCATGGAAGGAAAAACAGTAAGGAAGTCAGTAATTGCTCGATATAGAAAGATAACATACACATAACAATATCCTATCTCATAGAGAAAGATAACATACACAAGACAATATCCTATCTCATAGAGAAAGATAACATACACAAGACAATATCCTATCTCATAGAGAAAGATAACATACACAAGACAATATACTATATCATAGAGAAAGATAACATACACATGACAATATACTATATCATAGAGAAAGATAACATACACATGACAATATCTTGTCTTATAGCAAAAGATCACATACATACGAACAATATTCTATCTCATAAAGAAAGATGTCATACAAACGACTATATTATCCTGTCTTATACCGACGGACCACGTACATACCACAATATCCTATCTCATAGGGGAAAATCACATACATACTGCAATAATAGCCTATCTCATATAGAAAAGATCACATACACTCAACAGTTTCCTGTCTAATATAGATGATCACATACATTCGACAAGTTCCTATATATACAGAACTCGGCACATGATATGGTCTGGTTTAGGAAAATTCAGACGAAATTTCTAGCAATAAGACCACGGAATGTAGTTTTTACAAGTTTTCTCTCTGTGTGGCCAAACACCTCATGTGTGTGTCCGTGTCTGCGAGTCTGTGTGTGAGCACATACGCGAGCATGTGTGTGTGTGAGAGAGAGAGTGTGCGTGTGTGTGTATGTATGAATGTTATACACATATGAGTGAGAAGTGTTGGTTGTTGTTTTTTTGTAAAGTGTTTTACAGCGCTCGCAACTGCATACGGTCATATGAGCACGCGGGACACACTAATATTTTCAGTTGGTAGGAAATTTTGAATTTTGCCCGGGTGGCGGCCGAAGCCTACTCTTATCGATTTTAGACCACCAAGGGATCTTTAACGTGTGCAACTTGCACACAGGCCCTCCGAGATTTTTCGCCCTTGTCCGAGAAGGCTAGGTGTAGATCTTTCCTACCAGAAGATCAGGGGTGTGGCAGAAAGACAGCAGTAAGGAGGAGCCAAGGAGTAGCAGTAGAAAGGCTGCAGAAAGAGTCAGGAGCCCAGCGTAGGGGGCAAAGGAGGTGAGGGGTGGGGGCAGAAAGTGGAAATGAAAGCAGACAACAGAACATTGCTAGAGAGCAGGAAAGGAGGTGAAAGGAGACAATTTTAGAGAAGAAAATTTTTCGGTCGCTACCCGGATTCGAACCCGGGACCTTTTGAATGAGAGGCCAACACCTTAACCTCTAGGCCACGAGAGCCCCCTGAGAAGCGTGTGTCTGTTTGCTTCACACAAATCCACAGTACACAAGCAAAGACACAAACTCCATAACACACCACCACCAACAACAACAAAAGAAAAAATAGATATGTTAATTCAGGACTTTCTGAGCAGTACAGCAGAACCATCCTATGAGACACAACAAATTCCACAGTTCCCTTGGCTTCTTCAATAGTGCTACCTTCACGACATGCAATGTCAATAGAAGAGATTATTCTCAGTATCTATCCTAAAGACAATTTTAACATATTAAACGCACATCAATAAGGATCCGAGGTAAAAAAAACTATGGGAGGGTTTTTTTTTCCTTACATAAACTTGTTCTAAAAAGAAATGAGACCAGTGGGTAAGCGGAAAATCTAATACATTTGAGCAAAAACATTTCTATCGCTCAAAGCTAAAAAAGGAATCTAAATGTATTTTTATCAATCCTGAATGTGACGCCATTCACGCAAGATACGGAGGGATTGAAACTGGTATTTCAAGTGCTCATTTAAAAGAAAATAACAACAACAAAACAATAATAATAAAAATAAAAGTAATAATGAAAATAATAATATTATCATTAAAGGGACAGCATGATGGTGAAAAGAAAACAACAACCACTAAAATAATAACAATAAAATAATAACAATAATAATAATAATAATAATAATAATAATAATTTAAAAATTTTTTTAAAAATAATAATAACAATAACAATAATAATAATAATGACGATAACTATAAAGCACACACTTCATGTTTAATATCACCATAATGATTATAACTACCCTGTAATTTGAGAAACAAGGACACAGCTTGCCACAGAGGACATCAGTATCGGAATCATGGAATGGCGTATGGTGACTTTAACTCAAAGGACAGGTCACACATACACCAAAGGACAATAGCAGCCACCATCGTGAGCATCATGCTATGCATATAATACATAAATATATATATACACACACAGAGAGAATATAGTATTACATAGAAAGTGATCCATATTGTCGCTACCTCAGAATTACAAAGTTTTATCTGCTCAGTACCGAGTTTGAAAAAATTTGTCGTGAAAAAATTTGAGTTTCACAATTAACCTGTCAAGATTGTAAAAATTGTACTCTTTGAATATCTTGAAAACGACTCCAAACAATCTTATCATTTCGATAGAGCAGACAGAACCTATGGTTTCTGACCTCATGGTTTTAGTAACTGAAAACGGCCAGAAATGTCAGATAGAACTTTGTAATTCTGATGTAGCCTTATATCAGCGACGCATGCAAAACATTCAGTTGAAAGGCTCATGATTGTAAACTCAACATTCAGTGAAAAAGCTCATGATTGTAAACTCCCGAGTATTAAATTTTTTCTTTTAAAGCAAAAAATTTTTTTAACATTTTCAGTCTCGTGTGGAAAAAAATTATTTTACAGATATTTTTTCAGTCTCATGGGTGGGGGGGGGGGGGGGGGGTGTCTGTGCCATAGCGATAGCAAGTCTCTTCCTCCCTCTCTCTTTTTCTTTCTTCCTCCCCCTCCCTCTCTCTCTGCACGCGCACGTGGGTGTGTGATCTTTGATCACAAAGATCAATACTTCATTGTTCACATATATTATCAACATGGGCACTAATACTGCTAGTAAAACAGACACTTCAACATGGAAAGAAACATTCTATGAAACGAAACCATTAGCTTGAAAGAGTTTTTTGCGAGATAAAACTAAATAATAGTAATAAAATTACCAGAGGATGATGTATTTGAACTTTCAACAGATCTATCGCTAGGAAAAATTGAAACACATAAAACATGTAGCGTGTGTTGGGGTTGGAGGTTTAAAAAGAAATAGTTTTTTCAACAAATAAATAACAGACAATAGACTATAAAAATGCCATTGGTATATCTTTACACGTATTATATGGGCAGTAAAGAAGGTCCAACAAGTAACACTAAACGGACAAGATATTACCATAGAATTAATTCCACTGAAAAAAGAACATTAAAAAACAACAAGAAGAAGAACCAAACAACATCAGAGGTTTTCGTGTCAAGGGAAAACAGCACAGAAAACAGCTAAGGCTTTGAGACACAACACTTTAAATTGTCGCTTTTAAGGACAAGCGGGCTAACCCACATTTCGGCGGTTTCCAGAAATCTTGACCTACAACAAAAATGGGCATTGCCCTACCTATAGGAGAAGTTAATTTCAGTGGTGTATACTTGTTTGGTTATAAACAAAACTCTCCTCGTATTTTAAAGAAATTGAACAAGGGTCCAAAAACTTTACCTTTGATTTTTTTTCATAAACAGCATTTTTCGGGATAACCCACTTGTGCTTAAAAGTAACCAAATGTAGTTGTCGGTCAAGAGTTAAACTCCTGTATCATAATTTTTCGTCATATAATCATGAACTTCTTCTTTTTCAAATATCAACAGCTCGCAGAAGCACTTAGTTCAAATGACTGAAAGGATCACTGTGGGGTTCTTTGTTCTATTGTATAGCGCATCGGACAATTTCCTGGCAGGAATGCCCAATACTAAATTAAATATAATCTATTGTTATTTATAATTGTTATTATCGTTATTTATCACCATAATAATAATAATTATATATTCATTTTTATTCTTATTTTATCCTTATCTTCGTCATTATTATTATTATTATTATTATCATCATTACTATATTATCATTATCATCATTATTATTAATATTCGCAAGTGCTCGGTATAACAACTGCTTTAAGCCAAATTCTGGTAACATGAATTTTACCAAAAGCCAATCAGTTTTTTTGGGGGGGGTTTTCATCAACAGAAAACTTTTCACAAATCATGATCGAAGATATTAGAGGTAGAGGTAGGCTCCCCGCCGACAGCTCCTCACAAAGCAGTGACATTTTATAAGTATAGAATATATATATACACACACACACACACACACACACACACATGTACCGTGACAGCAACATGAAACTATGGTGAAACACAAACGTTGACATTTATACCGCCGGCCAGCCGTTCACATATTTCTGTTTGTTTGTTTGAGTAATGAGAAGAACATCAACACAGGGAAAAATAAAGACAGACAGACAGACAGACAGACAGACAGACAGACAAACAGAAACAGAAGGAAAGTGAAGAAATAGGACCTACCAGTGGCTCTCTCCAATCACCCGCAGAAGTTATAGTTTTAGCACAAGTTATTTAAGACGCGGGACCTCCAAATTTAACGTCCATCTTCTATAAATCAAGCCAAATTGAAAGCCTAAAAAAAAACTCGACAAAATGACCCGTGTTCAAGAATGCTGAGTCAAAGATTCGAACCAGGGCTATCTGCAGAGCATGATACTAACTGATCTAATGGAGCGCCCGACCAAATAAAAATCCAGAGCCATTATAATTTTATTATAGCAGCGATTATAACTATTATCTTTAGTTTCTACAGTCAAAACATTCACCTTTTGGTTTTAGTAAGTGTTTTACGGCACTTGCAACACAATGAGGTCATATAAGTGCCAACGATTAGAGGCGTTACAAAAGAGTAACAAACAAAAAAGAAGGAGGAGAGATACAGACGAGAGGTTTGATAGGAAAGAAGAAGCAAACCACACCAGAGCACCTGCCAACCACCCTCGTCCATCTACACAAGGACCATAATAATATGTTATGTATTCTATGACCAGACATTGTCATTTTTCCCGTA